TGGAGCAGGACCACATCCCTTTCGTGTTGGGGACCCCAGAGCTGTATGCAGTAGTGTGTGTGGGGGGTCTCATGAGCAGACTAGAGGGGGAGAATCACCTCCCTCAATCTGCTGGTCATGCTTCTCTTGATGCAGCCCAGCTTATGGCTTTCTGCGCTGGGAGCACAGACTGCTGGCTCATGTTGCGCTTTTCATCACCCAACAATCCCCAAGTCTTTCTCATCAGGGCTACTCTCAATCCAGTCTCCAGTCAGCCTGTATTTGTGTTTGGGATTGTCCCAACCCAGGTGCGGCACCCTGCACTTGGAAGTTTTGAATTTCACCTTGAATGAGAAATATGCTCGGCTAATTACAAATAATTGAAGACAGGATCTCAACTATACGTCCTTCATACAGGGAGTTCTGGTCAACACAATTTATCCTGGCTTGGCTTTCCATCAAAACAAATGGATGAATTAAACCTATTATTTACCAAGATAACAAATACTTATATAGAGCAATGCAATAAACTCTACCATATGCTGCAAGAAAAAAAAAAATATAATCGAAGAGCTGATTGAATAAGAACATATCCATTGATGAAGATCTCTAGAAACAAATTGATTCCTAACTAAAGGACAACATGAGACAGTGCACAACTACGCAGAAAATAACAGAGTATATTTGTATAATATTCTTCACAGGATCCCTCATGACTTGAATTTCAAACAAGCTGATACCAATTTCACTGATATAATGAGAATAAACAAAATAAATCAAGTGAATAAAGTCCAGAGTGATCTTTGCCTCTTGGATAAGATGCATTTTGACAGTGTATCAACTGCTATGATGATTTTTATTAGAGACTGAAATGTATGCTTTAAGTACTGTTGTTAAAGTTAAATTTAATCTTATGTTTCTGAAGTAATATTAGTCTCCTCTTTTAAAAGCAAAGCAGAGAAAAAATACCTCTGTATTTGTAGAAGAGATGACTGAAGAAAAAAACCAACCACATTTCCATGGAACTCAAAAGTAAGGACAATTTCTCTGGGACACAGATGTAATACAAGTCAAGAAAAAGATGTGCCTCAAAAATCTCCTAGATAGCCAATGGGCTACAGAAAATAGTCCTGTTAATATCAAACTTGTGAGGCAAGTTAAATAGAATTAAAGGCATTTATAGTATTTAAAGTGCAGTATTAATTCAGAAAAAAGTTTGAAGGTATCCCTCACCAATAGGAAATCCCCTAGAGCCCAGGAAAGTACAGCTTTTATAACAGTTTTGGAGAGACAATATAGGTTTTGTATATATAGACTGAGTGGGTAATACAGTAGTATTTCGTTATGAGAAGCAGTGGGACTATGATAGGAATGTTATTTCTCCTTGAGAAAATTAAAAAAGAGCTTCACACATAGCTAGAATGGGGGAAAGGATCCTGGCAGAAATACCTACCAATCCACCATGTTTTTATGTAGATTGGACAGTATGAATCCTGCAATGTTAAGGCAGTTATATCTTCCCCTCTGCAAAAAGTCTCTCGTGGGACTTGTGACTCTTCTTGGGAATTTCGTGATTTCTGATCTGCGGGCCTCAGAAGTCTTAGGAAAAGAAAGGAATTTTGCACGTCTCAACAGGCAGACAACACGAGATCTCTCTGGAGGACTTGCCTTCTCCTCCTGCAACAGCAGTTGGCATTTACAATCTTTTCTTTGAATAGGAGGTTGCCATATTCATCCACACCATTCCCAATGCCAGAAAAACTACCAGAAATTCCAATTTAAGTTTTGATGGGTTAGAAAGCCAAGTGTCTAACTGCATGAGGTTAGTGGGGCAGCTCTGGAAATAACTTATTAATAGCAGCTGACATGAAACGCACCATAGAGTATAGAAGAACTCCAGCCCTCAATTAATCACATTTGAATGAAGACACTCAGCCTCTCTCTTTCACCTGCTGACTGAAAATTGACACATCATTAGCAGCTCTGGCAAGTGCATTGAGCCTGGAAACCATTGCTAACTGTTGCCAGAAGATATCTGCAACAATATTGTCACCAAAACCTCAGGACAGCCCTTCTTAAGAGATCAAGAGGTCTTCAAACTAGTGCTTTGATTGAGGAAATGCTCGTTTATAGAGCTCAAGTCAGACAAAGCTCATCTGGTGTGTTAAGGAACAGGTCTTAAAATATTCTTTTACTGAAACACCTCTGGTCAGATAGTCAGATTTTTAGATGGCAATATCTGGTTTCGGCTTCATCAAATACAGTTCTACAAATAACAATTCTGATGTTTAATATTACCCCTTGCTCTTTCAAGTTCTTTTGAATTAGACGCCTTGGAAATGACCCAAGTGTTCTGTTCAGAACATGAGTGCCCTGTAGCATCATCTGCCTAAGACAGTCCAAAGCAAGATCCTTCCTTCTGTGCAGAAACAAAGTATTTACCCTTTCTGAAAGCCACCAACATTTCTGATGCAATTTCTTCTAGGTAATTTAAAGCATAAAAAAGAAATAAACCCATGGTAAAACAAAGAAATGATAGCAATAATCTAACCTGGCGCTCTGGAATCTCTGACCCTTGAGGTACTTCGATTTGACTGGAAGGCTCTGAGCAACCAGATCTAAGTGGGCCTTGCACAGTGGTTAGGTCCTGCCGACCAGCAGACAAGATGACCTTGTAACCTAAACTGATCTCAAGTGCCACAAATTTAAGGTAACTAGAGTCCAGCAGTTGCTTTACACCACTTGACAGAAACAGCCTTCAACAAAGTCTGAGAAAATGCTTAAGGAAAGAGCATTGAATGCAGTTTTTGAGAAGAAGGGCTCTAATGTTTTGCTTACAGACAATCCCACAAGGATAGAGAGGGAAGTTAGAGACCAGCAGGAATTTTCTCATGCTAACAAAGAATGAACAACATTTCAAGACAGGTGGTCCGATAGAATGCCACCTACTGATGTGTTCTGGACGCCCCAGAACTCAGGGCAGGCATGGGCGTCAACTTCACCTTGCTGAAAATGCAAGAACAAATTCCCAAATTTCAGAAAGCAGAGATAAAAATCCATAAAGAGGAGCACAGACATAAGAGTTCTGGATTTCAGGGAGGTAATTGCTGAAAGAGAAACTCCTCCTGCAACAAAGCATTCCCTTAGTTGTTAGCTGCCGTATTCCAATGCTGTATTAGGCAACTGCTTGCCAGCTAAGTGTTATACTTCAAAAGGAGGAACAGATCCTTCTTTACTGCTTAGACAGTGGAATTTGAAAAGCAGTAAGACATCAACTTCTTTATGTCTTCCACCACAGGAGATAACAAGATGGGCCTTATTCTTTTGGCAAAAGTCGGAACTATTGCAGGAGTGAATTCAGTGTGGATATTGGGTACCTCTGTCACAGGACTGTTCAGCACCAGAAGAAAAACTGATCAACTCTTGACAGCACTGTGCAATTTACTGAGCAAGAAAATTCCAAACATAGGTACAGGTATGAGTTTCCACAGCTACAGATTATGAGGTTTTCTCTCATTACAGTGTCAACCCCTGTTTACTATATATAGTTTCACTTGTTTATTCAATATGCATGTGTACTTCTGAATTAAGGGTGTGCTAACGTTCACAGATGAGTGGGGCCTATGAGTAATTCCGACTCATTCTATAATTGCTGTGCCTCCAGGGCAGTTTCTGTTTGAACGGCAATATATGGGTACATGAAGTAATCACTGAATACTGATGAAACTGTGCTTATTTGTGCTTCCCTGGATGTGTTAGCTTGGGTTTTTTGTTGATTATAAAGGTCCTAAACTCTTGACCATTGTTTCACTGCATCACAGCTGAATACATAACAGTACAGAAAAGAGTAAAGCAAACTTCATAGCATGCATAGACAAATATGTGAATTCAATTTCATCCACTCCCCTTGTTCATCCAATGCATGCAAAGTTTCTGAGAAAAAGATCTTAAAAAAAGCCATGCAAGGGCTAAAAAGCCCCTAAGCCGTATTTTAATTATTATTTGCATACACAAACACCATCAGCCAGCTGTGGTTTTTTGATGATTATTATTGTTCTACATCTTCAAGCTAGTCAATGTATATAGTTGAGCTTCACAAACTGAGCTTTAACTCCTGAATTACATGTAAAGAAGCATAAATATTTGCCTTAAAATCTGATGTTTAAATATCAAACAACTGAACTTTTTCTACCAGAAATGTTAGATAAGTTTGAATGAAATACATCTTTTCAGTATTTTCTATTAAAATATAAGTTCATATATATACATACACATACATATGCATATATATATATCTATAAGTAAAAATACACCCTTCAGGTTACATTTCCTGCATCACTGCTTTGTTGAAATTCAGGAAATGGTTTAAAGCACAACTGACCTTACATGATTAGTTCTGAATGGTTTACTTTTTTGTCACACTGATTTGTGACAATCACCTTGCTGCTCTGAAGTCGTAAACCTCTGCAGAGATTATAGCATGCCTTTATATATATATATATAGGTATGCTGTCAGAAACAGTAATGATTATTTTTATACTACCATGAAAAGATGGGAAATACTTAGGAGACACTTATGTTCATTGTTCTCTGTTCAGATATTTATGACTATGTCTGGCGATAAAAAAATATAAATTACATTTACATATTTATGAGCATTTTTATGCAATACCTTCATTTATATCAAAAGGCCATCAATACCCCTACGTTAATATAACACATCTCAGAAATCTAACTACAATGCACTCGGTTTTATCTTTTTCCCTAAAACCTTCCTGAATTGAAACAATGAACAAAATACAGTATGAGTAGTGATGATTGATAAACAATGAAAATAGTCTGCACTTAGGGACAATTACAAAAATCTTATAATAGATTATGGTATAATAGATCTTATCTATTATACCATAAGATCTAAAAATATCTTTCTCTGTTTAGAGAGGCAGAAAAAAAACTTGTGATGAAATATGTGGGCTGCAGAACCATGCAATGCAAATTGAAGAGTACAGGCAGAAACTCACCTCTAGCTTTGCTCTTTGTAGCAGCCACTGGAAGCAAGGAAAAGATTGCACAAGAAGAGAACAAAGATAGATTAGACAGAAGTTTGAGCAAGTAAGAATACAGAGAAACTTTTATCACTATTGATTCAAAGCCTAAGAAACACAGTTTCTAGGATTATTTGACCTATTTGAGAGACTGCAGTACTATGAGATAGTTCAGATCTATGATTCTGGCAGATGACCTGTGTTGAGAACTTAGAAAAATGTATCACAAAATTCACTCAAAAAGCATGGGAAGGAGTACAGAAAAATCATGGACCATTAATCACAAGGAGGGGAGAACACATTTATGAATTCTAAAGCTTACAGCACAATTTGCCAAAAGTACATTCTAAAGTTCCTAAATCTTATGTCATCCCTTGCTCCTATTTCTTGAAACATCATTTGCCTGTGAAGCTGATGTAAACAAACATTGGCTAAACTGCAGGTACTTGAATTATTTATAATCTATGTTACACAATCATTGGTTTTATTCATTGAAACTTCTATCATCATCAGATTGTTCTTGCACCATGCAAGCAAAAGGAGCAGAAAATACTTTTAACAGTGATCAGTGTTCAAACTCAAGAGAAAAAGGGGCAGACACTATAGTCTTCCTACAGTCTCCTGGCACAACACAGTTTCATAGTGTTAGTTCTAAAGGCACAATGGGGTCACAAAAATGACAATAGGAGCTCAAAAATTTCTGCTGACAACTGCTCTACTGCCAAAATCAACAGAACCATTATTTTCTGTTTTCTGAGGTTCATGGATAATGCTGCTGATACACAAGAAAAATCAGAAACCAAAATCAAAATGGAATCACTGTTAACTATAAATTACACAAAATATGCTATCAGCAACTCTTTAAGCTCTCAAATGCACTCTGAAAAGGCTTTCATTCAAGAGCAACTTCATGAAAAAAAAAACACGAAAACAAAACCACCAACAACAAAAACAAACAAACAAACAAAAAACCCAAAAACCCAAACAACCAAACAAAAAAACTCAGAAAAACATGATTCCTCTTCTGCTGGCCCTTGTAAGGCAGAACTACATTAACAATTCAAAGGCAGCCTTACTGTGACCAAAAGACAGATAAAAACTAAAAGAAGACCAAATCCCCTTTGTCTTTTTGCTTCTCTTGTTCACATCTAAAAGTTCTAAGTTGGCTTTTTTCCTTCTCTTTTTCTCTCTTCCTCTCCCTGCCCCCTACCTCCCAATGTCTGATCAGGTGTCTCACCAGTCTTTACCAAGACAAGTAAAGAAATCATGGCAGTGAAGGCCAAGTTGCCATATATGAAGACAGTGCCAGAGAAAAAAAATCAACTTTTAACTTTACAAGTACATTTTACAATGTCAGTTCTCAAGGGTTTTTCCTTTTTATTTTTATTTTTTTATAAAAATTCATTTCTTCACTGATCCCTCCCCTACTTCCAGATGCACCATCCTGCATTGCCACCATTCTCCTGCCAGTGAAAATAAACTAAAACAAATCAGTCCCACAATGTCTGAAATCAGCATTCCACGAAACAGCTCTGCTTTGCGGAGGCACAACAGATGCAGATCCTTCAGCAGAACTCCTTCCATAAGGCCATTTAACAAGACATATTCACCTGCAAAATAGCCAGTGAATCTTACATGCACTAAGAATTACTCTCGTAGTAAACAAAATTAATGGTGCCATTCTAATTTTATAATAAGTGAACAGTTTCTCCTTCATGCAAATATACGCTGATAATGAATGCATTGATTCATCAACCTGTTCAATTTTTTTTGCTTCCCCTCTTTTTCAGTCCTGAGAATTACATCTACATGAACCACAAGCCAGAATAACCACTTAAACTTAACAGAGGTCTGGAGGACCTGACATACATTAATTTAAAAGCAGTAGGAGACTTTATACTCACATTAATAATTCAGAATAAAAAGACAGATCTATATACCTGAAATATGTATATGAAAATTATATATGTACTTCAATAGCTCAGAATACATGTACATGCATATGTAATCTATGTGTCTGGGTACACATATACATGCATATTAATCTACATGCACGGTTACATATATACATGTATATTAAAAGAATCCAACCATTCTATGATTAGACAGCTTTATCTTGAAGCATGAGATAGAGAATTATTACCTATCATGTATCAGTAAATAAAGAAGACATATAAATAAGGTTGTACATTATAACTGAAAGTAGGACAGGTTACTAAGCTTGTTACACCAATTATACCGCTCTGCAAATCCACTAATAGAGGACTAGATGACAGTAACCTTCTTAAAAATGTCATGTTTGATACTTGTAAGTTCTTCCATTGGCAGCATGGTCCAATTACAAGTCAATTTTTAAAGTTCAAACTGCACAACAGCCAAATTAGCTGAAAATGGTCTTTCAAAACATAATTCTGCCTACTGAAGGGAACTGTGTCCATCAACAGCTCGTTGTTCTGATGGAGGGAAAATTCCCTCTTATTACCACCGAGTTCTTTTTCCAAATGTGAGAGAATTTTTCTCTCTTCTCTCTTACTTTCCTCATCATTGTGCACAGAGAAGACAATTTGCAACCTACATCCAGTAGGTTTGAAAATTTGTATCCACCTCCTCTTATTACTACATGAAAAGTCATAGCAGGAGACAAGGATAGATAAATGTTTCAAATGAGAATCATCAAGACTGAAATTCAACAGAGGGAGGCTGATCTCTTGGTTAGAACCAGGTATGGGATAACTCATCTTTTTATGCCACCAAAGTCAGTGACAAAAGACCTGTGGGTTTCAACAAGCAACATAACTGTCAAAGGATCTCCATCTGCTTTACGTCTTCAGCAAGTCAGTTGAATGCTTTGCATTTCACATAACACATTCACTTTTTCCCCATTAGACTTCATTGCTTGCTGAGTAAAGAGACCACCTCTTCAAGGCAGCGAGTCTCCCACTTCTCAAAGTAGCATATCAGCAGGACACTGTTTTGAAATTTCTGTAGTACAACTATAATAGAACAGGACTGGCCAGTAATAATTTATAGCTTCAATGTAACCTAAAACCTGGAATTCACTGTATTTGGCTGGCATTTACTTTATGTGGCAAAATTAATAAGCCAATCAGGAAATGGAAAAAAAGAGAAGGCAGTAACCTCTGGTATATCCCCATGTTCAGGGATTTCTTTAAAAACCAGAACATATTTTCAATGGTGTATTTCTTTAGGTACTCTGCTTTGTCTTTTTTAGGAAGTTGACTTTTTATAGGGAGGTAATACTACAGAAAAGTGTGAACAGTGAATTCTACCTTTGCTGGAATTTAAGGAAGATTTTAAGGACCAGAAAAGAAAGACAAACAAAATGGGAAGAAAGACCATATCCTCAGAAGTCAGGCTTAAAGGCATGACAAAGCTACTACCTTTCTAGGTAAGACCAAGGGGAAAAACAAACAAACAAACAAACAAACCAACAAACAAAACTCTTCTATTAATAGTTAGCTCTATCAAGATTAAACAATATTTTATTTTCTGAAGGCTTTTCTAGTCACAGCATATGCAAAACAAAAATGACTGGCTACTAGGGAAAGATCCAGGAGTGAGGGGGTCGCAGGGCAGCAAGATGTTGAGGTCAGAGATGTCAAGAAGTCCACTCTGAAGGACCAGGAAAGGAAAGGAAAATGGTGCCAAGTTCTGAATCATGGCAGTTATTTTTCACAGAACTAACATTTTTAGGGCATTTTGAAATCAGAAATGTATTTCTGCTGTAGCTGTGCTGCTGAAACAATGTTTTTAAAAATCACTGCCAGAATGTAAAAAGGTGGATTCAAATTTTAAAACCTCTAACATACCCTTCCTCTCAAATATCAATAATGCATTGTACTTTATTTTTCTGTAATACATCTTTCTGACTTCTTGCTTTCTGTATGCCAACAATTGTTAAATTACGTTCTTTGATAAATGGTGGCCATAAGTTGTTCAATATTTTCTCCACACTCAGCTGTCTCAATGCTGTTCAATTTTGTGAACATTTTTAGACAGATTTGATATAGCATTTATTTTATTTTTTCTTATATGTGATTTATTATTTGATTTGTGCTTTTTTGTCTTTGGAAAAAAAACACATCCTTCCTATTACTTCAATAGCTCAATGAAAATAAAAAAGGGAGAAAGTATTTCTCCCAGATACTCAGATTACCCAACCCTTTATTTCAGAAAACGAGAAGAAAGAAAAAAGTAAAAGGTTTGAGGTCAGAGTCTTGTTCTTGTTTCATCTATTACGTATACTACGAATGCAGGTTGAGTTAAAAACAGTACAATATCTAACTGTTATAATGACTAAATAGCTCTTTTTAAGAAATAAAACAAGATGAAAGGCACACTCATAAAACACACTGAATTGATTTTCTCCTGAATAGAGTAGCTTACAGTTCTGGCAAAACTGGAGGTCCTCTCATCTTCAATAAAAAATATAAGCTATCAGAAGTCTATAGGATGGACATACTTATTCGTCTGTAGTTTTATTCCAATCTTAAAACCTTTTGCGATCATGGAACACTAAAAATTATCAGAGAATAGGCCTACATTAAAAACCACCAATCTAAACAAAAAACTGACCGCCCCTTCCCAAGACCCCAACAAAAAAAATACAGATTCCAAATTTCAGAAGAAAAGGATTTGTTTTTACACTATTTCAATTTAGAATTTTCTTTTTAGGTTGATGATAACTGCACTTTATTTTTTAATTCATTTGGATACACAGATGGATTATCACTAGTCATTTAGGTCACCTAAATACCAGCTCTGATTCTCTGACTGGAAAAGCTCCTCTCTGTGACAGAAGGCTTAGCAGGATCATTTTCTCCAGAGAATAATGCAAACTATTAGGCTCTCAGAGACTAAGAGACCCATTCACCAGTGTGTGCTGTAATGTAGCATGCTTCACTGCCTCCTTTTCAACAACAGCATTTCCAAAGGCACTGAAGGAGAGAGAAACCACCATCACCTGAAATTCTTGGTGGGAT